CCCATGTAAGCGACATAGTTCCAGTCTCAGCTGTTGCACTTCTCATCCAGCTCCCTGCTAGTGCACTGGAAAACAGCAAAGGATGGCACCAGTTCTTGGGCCCCTACCACCCACACAGAGACCCTGACAGAGTGCCAAGCTCTGGGTTTCCCCAGCTGTGGTGGCCATTTGTGGAGTCAAACAGCGGATAGAATGATCTCTCATTCTCTCTCCTTCTCCATCCCTCTCCCTGTCACTCTGCTATCCCAATAAGCAACAATTGTTAAATATTTTGAAAATTCAACTTTGATTACCCATCAGTAAATTATTCACTAACTACTATAGATAAGGTACAGAACTATGATTTTTCTAGGCAGAAGCTCACATTCCAGCTTTGATGATAAAGCAGATTTCCCTAACTCCAAAGCAGTAAATAAAAAATGCCAAAGGACTATTATAACAATAGGTACTATGGGGAAGTTAGAGATCTGCTTCTTTCTCCTCCAATAGTTCCTAACACACCTTTATTTGAGCTAATACATATTTTAATTATTTACTTGCTGTGTATAATTTACCTGTCTGTTTCTCACTAGTATGTTAGCCTCTTGAGGGCAAGGATGCAATTCTATTCATCCTTGCATCCTCATTACTTAATATACTGTTTAGGTGGATGATAAATATTTCAAATACATTTAATGAGTGAATGAAAAGACACAGGATGCAGGGACTTGTTTTGTGGCCAGGGTAGTACAATGCTTATCTCAATGGTCAAGCTTCATTGGTTAGAATTGCATCTCTCCCTCTGAAAGCTATGTGATCCTGCAGCACTTACCTGAATTTTCTGCATTTCTTGGGGAAAGTGAATAACAGTAATAGTACCTTTCTTTATCAGCTACTTTTACTATGGAACAAATCACCTAAAGCCTGAACATTTGGAACACCGGGCATTTATATGTTCCAAGGTTCCAGCAGCAATGTCAACGCTGGTGGTTCCCAGGCTCTAGCTGAGTTCATACAGGCACCCAAATTCAGTTACCAAGCAACCTTGGGAATGTCTGGCCCTTGTGATGCCTCATCCTTTGCCAGGCTAGCCTAGGCTTCTGACAAGGCCAGATCACTTTCAAGGAGTAGGCAGAGATTCCACTCTTGATGGAGGATATATCAAGGTCACAACAGTACAGATGTATATGCCATGAAGTGTGGAGAGTTGTGATCATTTTTGCATTGGCCATATTCTCTCATGAGATTTTCAAGAAGATTAATAAGACATCTTCCAAACTAGCAAACTACCATGAAGTAATGGGTTCAGCAGGTGATAGCAATCATTATTGCTTGAGGCTGCTTAGGGAAAGTTTCATAGTGGAAAGAATCCTAAGTTTAATTGTGCGCAATGGGTGGGATTTCTCTATGTGGAGCTACAGGGCCTGCATAAGAATACAATCTAAGCAAAGGGCTGAGTGAGGCAAGTCTGGAAATTGGCTAGCAAAACAGTCTGCCCAGCATAGCTGGAGCTGGATATGGAGAGCCTGGAATGCTGGTAAGGGGCTGGGCTTGACACTGGGGCCACAGTGAGTATTAGCCAATAGCACCATTTTCTATGTTTTTATTATGATTCCAACTATTTGTCTCCTATGAGCTTCTTCATGCTGCTGTCTTTGTGATATCCCTGGCTGTCTCTATTCAAAATTCAACACTGGGAAACTAGAATCTCATTAGTTAGATGCACCTGCTCTGAGAGAGCTATAGGTTCCACCTTTCCTCAATTGTATTCCCTCTGTAAAATAGAATTTCTGTCTCTATACACCCATTTCACAGGGTTGACAATCTCAATAGGCCACAGTGAAGTAGTATTTACTAATTAAAAGAAACACAGGGCGGGGCAGACTCTGATGTATACCTAATCTGGTGACACCTCACACATCTACAGCAGAAAAAATGAGAACACAAATCAAGATTCATCATGGCTACCCCTTTCACATTAGCAGTAGAATGCTTCTGTAACTGCTCCAGTCCAGTGCAACAGCTCTGAGGATGCCCTCCACTCATCCACCTGAATTTCTCCCACCTTGAAGGCTGACCAGCCCACTCAGGGCTACCATGGCCTCTCCATGGACTGCTCCACAGTGACAGTTTCAGAAGCTTTCCACTGTATATGGCTTAAAGACAGATTCACTGATGAATAATTCTGATAATTCAGTTGAAGTAGGAAGACTGCTTGAATTAGCTAGCAACATGATTATATTTAATTTTTTTTTTCCCAAAGACAATTCTGGCTTCTCTTCTGCCATGCGGAATCCATCCTGCTGAGTGCTCCTGACTAGTCACGTCTTTCCTGCCATTTTAAAAACAATAGTGGCAGAGATGCAAGCTGCTGATGGTGCTCAGCAGGACAGATCAAACACACAGATGCAATTTCTGTACGTTGAACAGCGGAGTCGGATAAAATTCAAATACTTACAATCGCTTAGTAGCTAGCATCTGATTGCTGCAAATTGAATCTTTCATAACGGGATTTATTGTAAATAGTGTCATATTATTTGTGAGTTCTGCAATAATTTCAGTCAGAGCTAGTGCAAGATATTGGTGGAGGGAGCTGTCTAGGATCTATGTGCTAGTTTCTGCACAGCTTAGAAATAATCTTTTCTCAAGAAAGACAATTGTCTTTCTTACCTGCTGAAAAAATGTAAATAATTAGGTGTTTTTTCTCGCAATTTTAAACATTATCAAATAGGGTAACTTTGAAACACAGAGGAAAAACAGATTTTTTGGCACTTCAACAGCTGTTTTAGGATTACAAGTCCCAACCCTACTCTCTACCTCTTCTACTTTGCTGCTTAATAGGTATTAAGATGAAAGAAAGTTAATATTTCTGAAATGTACTTTTTATATTCTGTGGTAGCATTAAAGGGCTTAGTAATTGCTAGTGATCAATATATACTCTCATTTAAAAAAATGAAATTTGAAACAAAGGGATTTTGTGGCCTATAAAATATACTCACAATTCATGATTAAAAAAATAGGGAGATGGTAATAATTTAAGAGATCAATACTATTATTCACCCTTGGGATTTGTTCTGAATACCACACTGGAAGTTTCAAAAAGAGCAACAGCCAACATCAAACATGAAGACATCACTTGGCATCTGTGAGTTAGATGGCACTCCACATACTTGATAAATGTAATGGCTAATGACACAGTGCCCCCCAAACAGTTGTAGCATAGTCAGATAGCCTTCTTGTTCAAGAGCCACGTAAAGAAAGTTCAAAAAGGAAAAAGTGGAAAAATCAGTAGTAAAGTCAGAAGATTTGGGTAATGTGTTCTTGCTGTCCCCTGCCCTAAACCACCACCACCACCACCACATGCCTTTTACATCATTTTAGGAGACACTAAGACATTCCTATCGTATCTGTGCATATGAGAAGGCAGCATCTCAGGGGGATCTGAAAGAAGTCTTACTCTGAGCAAAACCTAGGATTTGATAGAAAATGGCCTTCGTGGGAGATAAATGCTTTAGTTCTTGATTTAACAATAAGCATTCCTCATACATGCTAATGTTTATTCTTCTGAATGGGAAATTCCCAGTTTCTGAACATGAAAATTTTCAGCTTGTCCCCTCCCCCAAGCAGGTGTCTTTCCATCTCTCACAAAGGGGAAGGATAAAAGATGGACATTGAGTGGGATCCTGGTGTGTATGCTAACACATTTACTAATCAGAGCACACAGAAATCAAAATGATTCAGATGCATAGGCTTAGTTGCAAACAAAACTCATTTTAAATGATGTCCAGCTTTCTTTCATTTCCATTTCATTCAAGGGTATGTCTTCCTCTTCCTGCTTCTCTTTTCCTCCCTGTATGGATACATCCAACCCCCACTGACAACTGAAATGCAGGGCTATAAATGTAAGGGTGAAATACATCATGAGGTAAGTCTGGAGAACATGTCCTCTACCAAAATGCACGTCAATCTCTGGCACTGCTAAAATCCAGAAACATGCTCGAGATCGTTCTGCATGTTAAGCAGGGTCAAACATGTAAGACTGGGGTTGCCTTTGTGTATCCAATGTGTTCCAAAGTGGGAATGGTTACATTTATGAAACTGCACCTGCTTTCCTGGCACTTGAGTCTAGTTCCTGCAAATCAAAGTGTCCTAATTGAAATACAAGTCTGACAAGATGATAATCTGTCCATTACATAAATTGACTTCTGAACCCTTATCTGTTAAGAGATGGTAAAGAATTTCAGAGGCAATTGTTTAGCAGGACAACACAATAGAGAAAATGTGCAGGAAGCCCAATGTCAAGTGAGGGGCTGTCCTCCATCCTCTCCTCCAGGTCTACTCCCCCACATCCCAGGTTTGTACCTTAAGCCACTCACGTCTTGGGCAACAGCCAAGGTCCTGTAAGTTAGATCAAACACCAAGACACAACAAAGTATCATTTGGCATACTTTGAAATCACACAGTTTCCGTCTTTCATGGTGTGAATGTGTGTTGGGGGCAGGAGGGTGGGGGAAATGGAAGGGACAGGCCGCATACCAATGTAGTGAAATCTGGAAACAACAGCATATATGCAGACACACACAAAAAGTTTGCATATTGCACACAGCGCTTGAAGATCATAAATCTATGCATGAGAAAGATGTAGTGGAAATTTTGGGGGGGATTAGAGTTTATTTTTGTCATCTCTGTGAGACAGCTACTCATTCATCCAGATCACAGCTAAGAAAAAAGCTGGTCACAGAAATTAGCAGTTTCAGCTCAGCAGCGAAGTCGCCAGCCTGTGAAGGCAGAGAGAAATTGACTAATTAGCAATGCGCACTAAAACTTGACGGTTCTTTATAGAGAGAGAGAAGAGAGAGGGAGAGGGAGGGGGGGCTCGCTTTTTCCCCTTCTTTCTTCCAAAGATGTTTGAAATCGCAGTCATTTACGCTCGACAATTTTTACAATAGCCTTGAGCCATAATTTTGCGAGCCTCTCCAGCATCCATCCCCCTGTATGGTCTCTCTCTACTGGCCAAGCACGACCGTTTCTCTCCCCAACCGTGGATTTCCTATTACTCTCGTTACGACTCACTGAGCCCCAGGCCCAAGGATAATGATGTGTTGTTTCTTGGTAGCATAATTTGTCACACGTACATTTTTTCTTCTTCTTCTCTTGCAGAAAGCTCTGCTCCCTCGCTCTCTCCCTCTCTCTCTCCTCTCTTTCTCTCTTTTTTCCCTCTCCTACATTTTCTTGCTGTTGCTAATTCATGGTGAGCAAATGATGTACGACAAAATAAATTGTAAAGAGTGACTGCCTGGAGTTGGGAACCAGAAGGTGTTTTCCCCCTCCCAAGGAGAGAACAAACCTTTAAAAAGGAAGGACAATTGATTTCTGGTGGGGGGGAGCTTAAGTGAGCCTTGACTTCGCAGCTGGTTGAGAGCAGGTAAGTTTCTGGCCTTGTGTGTTTGCCTTGTCCGTATTTTTGTTCTGTGGGTTGTTGGGGGTGTACAGGAAGGGAGTCGTTCAGAGGGGTGGGGGCAGTTTTGTGGCAATCGTTCATAAAGAATACAACTCCTATTGCCAGAAACAAGCAAAGAGTGTGTGTGTGTGTGTGTGTGTGTGGCGGGTGGAGGACTGGAGGGGCGGCAAGGAGGCGAACAAGAAGGAAGGGGACTAGGAAAAGATGGGGTGGGGGGGGCGGGAGACGGCGGCGAAACATCGAAGCGGGGAGAGAGGTCTGACCGGGTCCACTTCCAGGCAGAGTCTCTGAGATGTCTCAGGCAAGCCAGAGCTATGGGGGCGGGGGCGGGGGTGCCGCCGGGGGCGGGAGCGCGAGCGAGGCGAGGGTCCACCTGCCAGGGGCTGGGAAAGTGAGTGGAGAAGAGCCCCAGTCCGGTATAAATAGCAAGCGGGCGGTCCAGGACTGGCGCCAGGCAGGGCAGAGTGAGCCGCAGTGGAAGGGGCAGGTCCGGCGGGATCCCTCGGAGCCGGGCGGCGGCGGTGGCGGTTCTCCCGGCCGGCGGGCGCGCTGGAGGGAGGATGTGGGCAGAGGGTCCCTTTCGGTTTAAGCCCTGCTAGGTGCGATTCCAGGTTAAAGACCGGGCATAGAGCTCTCGCCTCACCTTCTCCAAGACCCTACCGTTCCGCCGCCAAGATGCTGGCGGCTCCGACTTTTTACAGAAGTAGTTCCAAGGACCAGGGGAGTGGGGGTGCCCGCGTGGAAGTGGTGGTGTTGGGGGTGGGGGGTCGCTGGAGATTGCACCCACGGATTTGTCAGGAAGCTGCGGCCAGCGGCTACGAGGCCGGGGTGGGGGGCGACGCAGGGACCAGGCACAGGACAAACCCTCCCTCTCCCCGCAAAAAGGAACGGGAGAGCCCCCACCCTCCCCCAGCACCTGCCTTCTAACTTGAACTTCTCATAGTTACTGGAGTTAAAGCGACTGCGCCAGGGGCCCGGGAGGAAGAACCAGCTACTGGAATCCCTCTTGGCCTCCCAGACCTTGCTGGAAACCCACCCTATTGGCCCCACTCTCCACCCCCCACCCCCACCCACCATCCCCGGTGCCGCCGGGCGCTGCAAGAGGGTGGGGGGAGCAGGCCTTTGAACTTCCGTGCCCTGACGCGTGGGAGGCGGGGAGAGGGGCTGGAGTGGGGTGGGGGCAGTGGGGAGAGGCTGGTGCAAGGACTCCCTTGTCAGGTTTAAAGGCGTCTCTGGAAAATTAGCTAAACTGAGTGGCGATGGGGAAACCAACAGTTTGCGAAGCAGGGAAGCAGGCAGGGCCGGGGTGAGGGAAATGAGCTAGAATTGATAAGGACAGCTCCCGCCTCTGCCGAGTCCACTGAGCTGGTCCTCGCCGCGCTCCGCTGCACTTTCCCGGGAGAAGAAAGGGCTTTATCTCCTCCCTCTGACTATTAGCCCAGGAGTTTGTCGGGGCAGCACGGATAATCGAAGGGGTGCCCAGCTCTGGGGGAAGCTAAGCAGCGCCCACCCGCACGCTTATGTGGCCCCCTTCCCTGCTTCCCTGACCCCGCTCACCCCCAACTCCCCACCCCCAAGTGGGCCAACTGCCAGCGGCAAAGCATCGGGCACAAGTTGACCTGGAACCACCGCCGTCCGTCGCCTCTGCGCTCCCGGGGCAGCCCCGGGCCCCCCACTTGCCGGCCTTTCCCTGCCAGCGGCCCGGCATGGACACGAGCCCACGAGGTGTCTCGGCCGCAGCCACTACTCTGCCGTCGCAACTGCCACCGCCGTCGCTGCCAAAATCCGAGCCCGAGTGTTTTTAGGAAAGTGAGGGACGGAAAGTGCTCGGGAGGCGGCGAGAGGGGTGTCGGGGAGCAGTTCAGGCGGCCCGGACCCCAGGTGGGGTCCTTCTGGTGGCTCTCGCGGATCCAGCGCCCGCAGCCCCCTTCCTCCAAGTGTCTGGGGTCCCGAGCGCGCCAGGAGGGAGGCAAGCTGAGCCTTGATTGTTGTTCTTCACCCTCCCTTCCCCTCAACACCCTTCCCCACCCCGACCACACCCCATACCCCCTCCCTCCCATCCCCCACCCCCATCTGCCAGGTTGGAGGAGGGTTTAAAGCCAGGTGCGCCCAGTCAGCTCGCCATGTCCAGATCCGGGGACAGGACCTCCACCTTCGACCCTAGCCACAGCGACAACCTGCTGCACGGCCTCAACCTGCTGTGGAGGAAGCAGCTGTTTTGCGACGTGACCCTGACGGCCCAGGGCCAGCAGTTCCACTGCCACAAGGCCGTGTTGGCCTCCTGCTCACAGTACTTCCGATCGCTCTTCTCCAGTCACCCTCCTCTCGGGGGAGGAGGGGTCGGCGGCCAGGACGGCCTGGGGGCCCCCAAGGACCAACAGCAGCAGCCACAGCCACAGCAGCAGCAGCAGCAGCAGCAGCCACAACAGCAGCCTCCGCCGCCGCAGGAGGAGCCCGGGACTCCTTCCTCCTCCCCCGACGACAAGCTGCTGACCAGCCCCCGGACTATCAACAACCTGGTGCTGCAGGGCTGCTCCTCCATCGGGCTGCGCCTGGTGCTCGAGTACCTTTACACGGCCAACGTGACCCTGTCCCTGGACACGGTGGAGGAGGTGCTGTCGGTCAGCAAGATCCTGCACATCCCGCAGGTCACCAAGCTCTGCGTGCAGTTTCTCAACGACCAGATCTCGGTGCAGAACTACAAGCAGGTGTGCAAGATCGCCGCGCTGCACGGCCTGGAGGAGACCAAGAAGCTGGCCAACAAGTACCTGGTGGAGGATGTGCTGCTGCTTAACTTCGAGGAGATGCGCGCCCTGCTGGACTCGCTGCCGCCCCCCGTGGAGTCGGAGCTGGCGCTCTTCCAGATGTCCGTGCTGTGGCTGGAGCACGACCGCGAAACCCGCATGCAGTACGCGCCCGACCTCATGAAGCGCCTCCGTTTCGCGCTCATCCCGGCCCCGGAGCTGGTGGAGCGGGTCCAGTCCGTGGATTTCATGCGCACCGACCCGGTCTGCCAGAAGCTACTGCTGGACGCCATGAATTACCACCTGATGCCCTTCAGGCAGCACTGCAGGCAGAGCCTGGCCAGCAGGTAGGAGACAACAAAGACGAGGGGGCCAAGTGGGGGGTTGGGAGGGGGGTCTTGCTGAGAGGCCAGAGGAAAGACAGGGGGCAGGAAGAGGGGTAGAGGATTGGGCCGACCCTGAGGGAGGCTGTGGCCAGCTGGAAAGACACACAAACACTTGCAACTGTACAAAGTTGATTGCCGAGGCCCCCAAAGGTCAGTGGGGGAAACCAGCCTCCATAGCATCCCTGAGTGGATGCAAGCCCTGAGTCTCCAAATCCTGGACTCTGAGCCTTAAGCTGGCAGGCAGATGGAGGCAAAGGCCAATCCCTTAGACGTGCAGCTTTGAAAGCCTGTCTTCTGAGCCACCACCACCACCTCCCCCCACCCCACCCCACATCACAGCCGCCGCAAGTCAAGATAGGCTTGGTCACCCAGGTCAAGGGACTGTGTGATGGCCACTCTGCACCTGTCTGCCCCCTGTTAACTGCCTTGGGCAGCAGAAGCTCCCAGGTAACACTGGCAGGGGACAGCTTTACTACTCTGGTCCTACACACAAGTTGGTTGGTTGGTTGTTTACTGGCTCTTGAGATCTGTGACGTCCTTGGGAGATGAGTTCCCCCAAAGCCTGGTCTATGGTCGCTACTGAAAACGCTGACACCCAGAGCCCGGGCAGACTTTTCTATTGAGGGAAGCCTTTCCTCTCCACTTCCAAAGGAAAGCAAATCAAGAGACTTCAGGCGGCAGGCGCCCCTTGCCTAGGGACTTCTGTTCCAGAAAGGAGAGCAGTTTGAGAACTGGAAGCTGGTGGGCTGGGTTGGGGGCCAGGGGAGTCTTCCAGGTTCACTTGGTCTACGTGTTTGTTCAGGAGTCACGAAAAAGTTGGTTTTGCTGTTGTTGCTGTGGTTGCAATTTAGAATGTCTGCGTGTGTGTTGCAAGTAGAGCTTTCTGTCAGAGAGAGAAATTATGCATTTTAAAGTGCTAAGAAAAGGCTGTGGAAATCAACAGTAATGTCTTATTGGCTCCAATTCTTAAATCCTTTTTAATGAGCCCTGGAAGAGTTTCTTTTTTCCTTTTGGAAGAGGGACACAGCATCTTGTCAGGTGACTCCAGCGAGTGTGTCTGAAAGATAGGGTTCATCCTTATGTGCAACCTTAGGTACTTCAACGTGTGTTTGGGGATGGTGTTTTTATCAGGTTTCTGCCACACCTGGCTAACTAAAGTTCTAAGAAATAGAAAATGTTCACTAGAGTTGCTTAGGTAACACAAGGGTTAAAGTGAGACCAATGGGAGACATAACAATTTCTTGAACTTGTAAGAAATTCTTTACATAAATTTTTTGCTAGGATCTCCAAGAGATGTGTTAATGAACTGTGGTGTCAACAGATGCAGAGTAGGACAGACCCAAGCTCTGTGTTCTTCAACAGTGAACACAGGAGCCCATGTGAGAACAAGACCTTGAATGTATTTTTATTTATCAGGAGTGTTTCCTTTATCTAAAGATCAAAATGGCAAGCTCAGAGTGAAGGGCAAATGTGATGACTCCAAGAGGAGTTGGTGATTAATGCTCTGCTGTTTTAATTCTCATCAATTTTAAGAGATACTATCAATATATTTCACTTAGCATATCTCATACATATTCAAGAATTAGACACAACAGCAATAGTCTTGAATGCCTGTTTAGTCCATTTTTTTATAATACAGATATGTAACCTAGTATAAATTCAAACACAAAGAGCTAATAAAATGAAGACTTACTTCTTTAGTGTAATTTTGGAAAATTAACTGTATTAATGCAATCCAATACATAATTTCTAAAACCTTCAAGGCACTTTTGTCTAATAAGTATGTCCTGAGGTTTAATGTTAGGCGAGTTTACTTTCAAAATGCAAAATCCCTTTCCCACCTTCCTCTGGATTCACTCCACCAGCTGGGGCCTGCTAGCTCTGCCCTGTGGATGGCTGAGATACCAGGCTTCCAGCTTCACTGGGCCATGTCATTTGAAGGGTATGTAGTGGTGTCTGACCACTGAATGCTTACAAGTGTCATGGATGCTGCAAGAATCTGATACTTCTGCAGCAGGGGAAAAAAAAACCAAACTGTGCATCCTTTTCAAAAGGAAGATATAGAAAATTGTCCATGTGAACCTATTTTTGATCTCAAAGTAATATAATTTAGAATTTGTTCCATTATTAGTAACTGTAGTGTTCTAAATTGTGGTGGCTAATGGAATTATTCTGACTTTAATTCACAGAAAGAATGCAAAATAGCAATCAAGATTTTAACTTTAATGTGGGTTAATATGCTATAAGTTGCAACCAATAGTATTAAATCAACCCATTATGATACAAGCAACATAATGTAAAAACACTCTCAGCCTTCTGTTGGTTTCATAAGGAAATAAATGTTTTAAATAATTGTTTCTAAAATAATTTTCATTGAAGCTGACTGAATTGAAAGTCATTCTATATAATTTTTTTTTTGTCTGCAGTTTTTAAAGTCTAATTAGGGAAGATTTCATGTCTGGAGAGAATGATGAGAAATTAAAATGGACCGATCTGTGGAAGTAAGGACAAAACAGGAGCAAACAACAACTTCGAAAGAGAATTTCCTTGTTGTTAGGATACGTAATCTATAGAAAGTAAGGGACAGCAATATAAAAATAGTAATTTAAGTATGATTTTAAACATAATCCTGAATTTTAGTCCAGAAATGTGAAGCAATCCAAGTACAAAATCTATAATCCTAAAATTAATTTTAAAATATTGCTGTAGTTGCTGAGTTTTTCAAAATATGTCAGTTTCACTCAGATCCATTTCTATTTGAACAAAATGAATAGGACAATATGCAGTATAACAAACATATTACTTTGCACTCAAACACATACATAAGTAATCTAAGACGACAGGACTTGACAAAGGATATAAAGTGCCAAACAGAGGAGCAAGTTTCAGTCATTTATGGCAGTTTGATTACCATAGTTAATGATCATGTTTGTGTGTTTCAAACTTTCTAAAGGGGTAGATTTTAAAAGAATTTAGCCACAAAAATGCTATAAGTAGATAATGGGTATATTAGTTAGCTTGATTTGAAAGTTTCACCATCATATAGTTATGTCAAAACATCACATTGTATCCCCAAAGCATATATAACTTTTGTTTGCCAATTACAATTTTTGAAAAAAGACAATATTTAAATATCCCAGAATTACAATACCTAAATCTTATTTTTTGTTTCATAGAAAAAAGTAAATGGGAGTTCTTGAAAGTTTTTCTAAATATGACAGTGTTCTAAAGCATAAATTTTAATAAAATATCATGATATTCAATGCTTACTATGTTAAAGTAATTTTCAGTGTTTTTTCCCCTAAATTTGACTTATATAACTGCAAACTGTCTTTTAAATTTGTATTTTCAAATTTTAGCACATAATTGAGTAAGTATTCAAAATAAATTAAGTTGGGATGGAGTAACTGATTTCTTTCTATGCTGTCATTGCTCCTAATACAATGTAATAGCTAAATAAATGCATATTGAAATTTGAATGAATTAAGATTATAAAATACAGAAGGCTTAATGTTGCACTTTATCAATACATTACTCATTTTACATTATTATTACCATGTCACAAAAATCCTTGGAGTGTTCTCGAAGGCAACACTTGTTAACAGATACCTTCATGAAAATAATGAAATATTTCAAAAACATTTAACCGGAGCTATCATGTTCCTTAGAGACCCATGTTGTAGTTTTCTTTTTTTAGAAATTGTGTTTTGGAAGACAATGGTAGACTACCTTATATAGAGTTCATCCTTTATAAACATAGTCAAAGATTCCACAAAAATTAATAGAAAAATCAATTTGAGCATCAGGAGTGCTAATTACCTAGTAACTAAAATAACTTGCAATGATTAAAAAGCCTGTCAATTTTCTAATGCACAGGTTTGATTCCTGGCTTTGGTGCTTAGAAAGTGATTCTGTAAACGTAGGATACATATTTTGCATTTGTTCTCTATGTTCTAAATAACAACCTTAACGAAACAAACTAATCTTGTATCCATGCATTCTCCGAATTGTTACTTTCCTTTATATCAATTTGTTACCTTCAGATTAGAAGTTGTCAGTAACTAGGTTTTTGTATCAGGAGTTATTCAACCATTCAGGACAATTTGTTTATTATCTGTAACAGGACCACTGATTACAAAATTATATCATACGTATGGGAGCCAAATAGGTATGTCCTACAATCAAACGGTAATTCGTGTGGATATTAATGCATTGTATTGGCAGAGAGAACCTACTGATGAAATTTGAAATTCTCATATTCTATTATGTGCTTGTGTTTTTCCCCATATTTTATAAATATTTTGGGATTCACTACCACCTGAGATGAAGTCTAAGGATCTCAATATTCTTTAAAGCACCATGAAAAATGTGCTGCTACCTTATTACCAACACTCACTGAATAACAGATAATGTTCTAAGTACTTGGCAAACAGATGCCACTAACAACCCTAAAGACTGAATACCACAATTAGCTTCATTTTGTAGATGGGAGAAGTTAAGCACTGAGGTAAAAATTGCAGGACAGAGTCCAGGCTGGGGGCAGTTTGCTCCAGTGTTCTCTAGCATGGGGGACCTCGCCTAGGCTCTCACCTAGGGACTGACCTTAGAGATATAGGTAGATATCCCATTTTGGAAAGAAAGTTAAACTGAAATGGGCCTAATTTTCAATAAGCCAAGGAAAGGAGCTCTTGTAGGCCATAAGTCAGTAGTTTTTTCTAGGGATGGCTGTTTGTTCTCTCTGTAGCAGCGGGCCTGGGTCTGATACCTGGTTCCAGCTCCTGATTTCAGCTTCCTAATAACACAGACCTTGGAACGATGCTTAAGGATGAAGTAAATGACTTTCTGCTACCCAAGTGGCAAACCGAGAGTGAGTTTCTGACTCTCAACCTTGGTCCTAACCAGCCCCAGTGTTGGAGGCATTTGGGGAGTGAAGCAAAGGTCATAGCTCCATTTGTTTGTTT